GGCCCGACCTGCCACAACATCCACCCCCCCCCTGACCTGCCCCAAAAACAGGCCCCCCGGCCTGACCTCCACAACAACAGGGCCAGCCCCGGGCCCGACCTGCCACAAAAACGGCCACCCCGGCCTGACCTCCACAACAACAGTCCACCCCGGCCGACCTGCCACAACAACAGGGCCACCCCGGCCTGACCTGCCACAACAACAGGCCAGCCCCGGCCTGACCTGGCCACAACAAAAGGGGCCAGCCCCGGGGTGCCCGCCACAACAACAGGGCCCCCCCCCGGCCTCCCCCCCACAACAACAGTCCAGCCCCGGGCCCGACCTGCCACAACAACAGGGCCCCCCGGGCCCGCCGCCAAACCCAAAAGGTGCCCCGGCCTGACCGCCACAACAAAAGGGCCCCGCCCCGGCCTGACCTGCCACAAAAAACAGGTCACCCCGGGCTGACCCGCCCCAACAACAGGTCCGCCCCGGGCTGACCTGCCACAACAACAGGTCCAGCCCCGGGCTGACCTGCCACAACAACAGGTCCAGCCCCCCCGGCCCGACCTGCCACAACAACAGTTTCCACCCCGGCCGAAACCCGGGCCCAACAACAGGTCCAGCCCCGGCCTACCGCCACAACAACAGGTCCCCCCGGCCCTACCTGCCACAACAAAGGTCCAGCCCCCCTGACCTGCCACAACAACAGTCCACCCCGGCCTGACCGCCCCCAACAACGGTCCAGCCCCGGGCCCACCTGCCACAACAACAGGGCCAACCCTGGCCACCTGCCCCAACAACAGGTCCACCCCCCTGACCTCCCCCAACAACATCAGGTCCAGCCCCAGCCTGACCTGCCACAACAACAGGTCCAGCCCCAGCCTGACCTGCCACAACAACAGGTCCAGCCCCAGCCTGACCTGCCACAACAACAGGTCCAGCCCTAGCCTGACCTGCCACAACAACAGGTCCAGCCCTAGCCTGACCTGCCACAACAACAGGTCCAGCCCTAGCCTGACCTGCCACAACAACAGGGCCACCCCAGCCGACCTGCCACAACAACAGGGCCCGCCCCAGCCTGACCGCCACCAACAGGTCAAGCCCCCCTTGACCTCCACACAAAGGCAAGCCTTAGTCGACCTGCCCCAACAACGGGCCGCCCCGGCCTGACCCCGCCCCAACAACAGGTCCACCCCGGCCGACGTGCCACAACGGTCAGCCCCCGGCCTGACCTGCCACAACAACAGGTCCAGCTCCGGTCTGACCTGCCACAACAACAGTCCAGCCACAGCCGACCTGCCACAACAACAGTCCGTCCCGGGCCCACCGCCACACGGTCCCCCCGGCCTACCTGCCCCAATAAAGTTCCCGCCCCAGCCTGACCTGCCACAACAGTCCAGCCCCCCCTGACCGCCCCAACCAGATCAAGCCTCAGCCTGACATGCAACAAACAGGTCAAGCCCCCTTGAATGACCACAACAGGTCAAGCCCACCCTTGACAGAACACAAAACAAGCCTCAGCCTACCTGCCACACCACAGGCAAAACCCCAGCCACCTGCCACACAGCAAGCCCCATCGACCCCCACACCACGGTCAAAACCCCGCCTGACCTGCCCAAAACCCCAGGTCAAGCCCCCGCGTGACCTGCCACCCAAAAGGGCAAGCCTCACCTACCTCCACACCACAGGGCAAGCCTGAGTCACCTGCCCACGGCCACATTTAAGCCTGACCTGACCTGCCAGCCACATCAAGCCTGGCCTGACCTGCCATGCCACAGGTCAAGCCGAGCCTGACCTGCCAGCCACAGGGCAAGCCTCAGCCTGACCTCCATTTCTCGGTCAAGCCTAGCCTGCCTCCATGCCACAGGTCAAGCCTCCCTGACCTGCTGTCACAGGGCAAGCCTCACCTGACCTGCATTTTTCAGGTCAAGCCCACCCGACCTGACACAAGGTCAAGCCCCACCTGACCTGCCACAAAACCCCAGGCAACCCAGCCTTACCTGCCACACCACAGGTCAAGCCTCACCTGACCTGCTAGTCAGTCAAACCCACCCGACCGCCATGCCCCAGGGCAAGCCCACCTGACCTCTATGTCACAGGTCAAACCCCAGCCTGACCTGCCAAACCCCCCAGTCAAGCCCCAGCCTGACCGCCACCCCACAGGTCAAGCCTCACCGACCTGCCATGCCCCAGGTCAAAACCCCAGCCGACCTGCCAATTTTTCAGGGAACCTCACCTGACCGCTAGTCGGTCAAACCTCAGTCTGACCTGCCATGCCCTGGCAACCTCAGCCCGACCTGCTGGGCCAGGGCAAGCCTCAGCCTGACCGCCATGCCACAAAAAAAGCCCACCTGACCTGCCATGCCACAGATCAAGCCCAGCCTGACCTGCCATGCCACAGATCAAGCCTCAGCCCGCCTGCCATGCCCCAATCAAGCCTCAGCCGACCGCCATGCCACAATCAAGCCTCACCTGACCTGCCAGCCCCAGATCAAACCAGCCTGACCTGCCCTGCCCCAAACAAGCCCAGCCTGACCTGCCATGCCACAATCAAGCCTCAGCCTGACCTCCCTCCACAGATCAAGCCTCACCTCCTGCTGTCACGGTCAAACCCACCTACCTGCGTACAGGCAAACCTCAGCCTGGCCTGCTTCACAGGGGCAAGCCTCAGCCTGACCTGCTGTCACAGTCAAACCCCGCCTACCTGCGTCACAGGCAAGCCTCACCACCTGCTTCCGGTCAAGCCTCAGCCTGCCGCTGTCCCCAGATCAAGGCTCAGCCTGACCTGCCATGCCACAGGGCAAGCCTCACCTGACCTGGCATGCCACAGGCAACCCAGCCTGACCTGCCATGCCCCGGTCAAACTTTAGCCTGACCTGCTGTCACAGGTCAACCTCAGCCTGACCGCATGGGATAGGTTTTAAACAATTTTCCCCCTAACAATTGTAGATCATACTGCCGACCCAGGGAAAGACCCCGAACGATTATGTTTATTGTAGGGGTGGGAGGTTGGGGGGCTGAGGGAGTGTAGGAGGCTGAGGGAGTGTAGGAGAGGCTGAGGGGGGTGTTTTGGGGAGGCGAGGAGGTTGGGGGAGGCTGAGGGATTAGCAGCTGAGGGAGTGTAGGAAGGCTGAGGGAGTGTTGGCGAGGCTGAGGGAGGTTGGCGAGGCTGAGGGAGTTTTGGGGGGCTGAGGGATTTTGGGGCGGGGGGGCTGAGGGATGTTGGCAGGCTGAGGGGGTTTTTGGCGGGGCTGAGGGAGGGGCGAGGCTAGGGGGGGAGGAGAGGCTGAGGATTGGGAGAGGCTGGGGGATGTTGGCGAGGCTGAGGGATGTTGGCGGGGCTGAGGGAGTGTTGCGAGGCTGAGGAGTGTTGGCGGGGCTGGGGGAGTGTTGGCGAGCGAGGGAGGTTGGCGAGGCTGGGGGAGTGGGAGGCGGGAGGGAGTGTAGGGGCTGAGGGGTTTTGGCGAGGCTAGGGAGTGTTGGCGAGGCTGGGGGAGTGTGGAAGGCTGAGGGAGTTTTTGGCAGGCGAGGGTGTTGGCGAGGCGGGGGATGTAGAGGGCTGGGGGAGTGTAGGAGAGGCTGAGGGAGGGGAGGAGAGGCTGAGGAGTGTAGGGGCTGAGGGATGTTGGAGGGGCGAGTGAGTTTTGGGCGGGGCTGAGGGAGTGTTGGCGAGGCGGGGAGTGTTGGCGGGGCTAGGGAGTTTTTTGGCGGGGCTGGGAGTGTTGGGGGGCGAGGGAGTTTGGCGGGGCTGGGGGAGTTTGGGCGAGGCTGAGGAGGTGGAGAGCTGGGGAGTGTTGGCGGGCTGAGGGAGGTAGGAGGCTGAGGGAGTGTGGGAGAGGCTGGGGGGGAAAGAGGCGAGGGAGTGTAGGAAGGCTGGGGGAGTTAGGAGGCCGGGGAAGTGAGGAGGCGGGGGAGTGTTGGCGGGGCTGAGGAGTTTTGGAGGGGCTGAGGGATTTAGGAGGCCAGGATTTGGAGAACTAAGGATTTTAGAGGCTGAGGGAGTGTAGAGGGGCTCAGGGAGTGTTGGCGGGGCGAGGGAGTGTGGAGGTCAGGGATGTTGGAGAGGCAAAGGGGATGTAGGAGAGGCTAGGGAGTGTAAGAGAGGCTGAGGAGTGTAGGGCGGGGAGTTTTGGAAGGCTGGGGGAGTTTTGGGTGAGGCTGAGGGAGTGTTGGCGAGGCGGGGGATGTTGGCGAGGCTGAGGGGTGGGAGGCTAAGGGAGTGTAGGAGAGGCTGAGGGAGTGTAGGAGAGGCTGAGGGAGTGTAGGAGGCTGAGGGAGTGTTGGCGAGGTTGAGGGAGTGTAGGAGGCTGAGGGAGTGTTGGAGAGGCTGAGGGAGTGTAGGAGAGGCTGAGGGAGTGCAGGAGGCTGAGGGAGTGTAGGAGGCTCGGGAGTGTAGGAGAGGCTAAGGGAGTGTTGGAGATGTTGAAGAGCCTAAGGGAGTGTAACAAAGGTTGAGGTAATGTTGTAGAGGTTGAGGGAGTGTAGGAGAGGCTGAGGGAGAGCAGCAACAGCAACAACAACTCTCACCACCACAACCACCATGTAAATACTGACCCCGAGTCTTACACTCTTCAAATATTTTAGCAAATATTTTATCAGTCAAGTTCTTATTTTATCTTTGATTACATAACATAATTTCCTGTTTTTTTTTCTTAATACCGATCTTAAGGTATCATATTTTATTGACACAATCAAATAATTTTATAGATTTTACTCAGAATACTCCATTAAAGTCAAACAATGTGCCTTATATGACACTATAATTGGTTCAGCTCACATAATAAACACTTATTATATTACAATAATTTACCTGCATCTTAAACATCACTTAAAACAATACAAATTTACCTTTAAACAAGTATTTTAAAATATACTTCATATTTATATTACTGTTCAATATATCTTTTACAGTGAAATATTTCGACACTTACATAATTATTTTAAGTATAATCTGAGTGTATTTCGTGTATAAGTAATTATAATAAAGGAATTTCTATAATTAGTGAAAGGAACCAAGAGTTAGTTAAGTGGAAGACAACAAGCGGAGGTGGTCAAGCTGCACCTTAATAAATGACGTTATCTTAGCTAAACTACCACTGCTACTTTAATTGTAAGACATTATACAACACATATTCATTATGATTAAGTTGTTTTCTATGAAAAACCAGAAAAAGGACGGGAGTGACGCGTCTAAACAAGGATCACAGAAGCGAGCCTCTGCAGCTCAACTCAGAATCACTAAAGGTTTGTTAAAATTAAATGTTTGTTTTCATATATTTGCTCTTGTTTACACGCAGAAATTATATTTTTTTCAATTGTGGCAGGTGGGCTTGTATTTATTTAAATAAGTTTGATAATATGTCAAGTAATGTTGAGTCTGTGCAGATGACTATGACAACACTAACACGTCTACTTCACACTCTTAAATAAACTAACTTATTTTCAGGTTATATTTGCACATTACTACTATATCATGTAGCTACATCACAACAAATTGTAATATATGTTTCATAATGTCTGCATAATACATGACTTCCATATATTATTTAGTATTTATGATCTGTTCATATTTTGTATTATAATTAAGGTGACAAATATTACTCTATGATAAACTTGACAATTTTATTTTTGTATTGTTATTTTTGATTATGAAATAGTAAATTTTAAATATAGTATAGGATAAGTTTTGCCGGAGATGCAGTGTATTATTATATTATTTATTTATATATTTATTTTATGTCTTTGTAAAAAGTACATTGAGATTTTGTATTTACAATAGTGAGTTGTAGTACAAAGAGAACCTCTATTATGCCTAGGCATTATGGACCAACTTAACATTATTGGCTTACAGTCTACTTAATACTAAGGAGTATATTATAGTTGTACAGTAGGACAGTAATTATTTCATAGTTGTACAGTAGATTATTAATTATAAATGAATCAAAATTTGTATAATATAAAGATATATTTATATTCGAAAATGTTTTTTGTGGAAACAATGATTCAATTATATTGGATCATTTGCAGCTTTGTTTCCAAACTGAATGAAGTAGGTTTTATCAGTGTTCAGGGTAAGTTTGTTAGTCATCATCCAGGCAGATATTTTCTGTAATTCAGCATTGACTGTGTTTGCTAGTATGACTGTGTTTGGGTGGGAAAAGACATGTAGCATCTGCAAATAATATGGGTTTGAGTAGCTGTGATGCATTCGGTAGATCATTGATGTAGATGAGAAAGAGGAGTGGTCCAAGGACGCTTCCTTGTGGGACTCCTACTGTGATTGGTTGGGTGGAGGAGTTTGCATACACATATTGAGTTCTGTTAATAAGGTATGATTTTAGGTAGTTGAGGGAGTGGCCTCTGATACCATAGTGCATAGACCTTCAGTTTATTGTATGTCCTGTGTTATAATACTGAAATTTAGATTAATATTTGAATTTATATTTTATCAGCATTCATAATAACCTCCACAAATGTTATAGAAAATTATCTTACTAAACCTTTCAATAAATTACTTACAAAATATTACACAATTTGTTATAAGTAGTTGTAGGTTTATTTTAAAGCTGCTCAAAAAGTTCTGCATAACCTGGGGTCTTTCTAGTAACTACATCAATAATGTCACCTTATTCTGAATCATTTCTAAACCATACTTCATAGAAATAAAGTTTATCATCTATAATGCCAGATGTCTGAGCCCCACTTCCTTGACTATACCTGGAGGAGGTTTCGGGTCACTGCACCCATGGTCTGGTCCATGACTAGGCCTGTTAGGTAAGACACATATGCAACAGTTAGGTATCTTTATTTCGAAACGTTTCGCCTACACAGTAGGCTTCTTCAGTCGAGTACAGAAAAGTTGATAGAAGCAGAAGAGACTTGAAGACGATGTAATCAGTCCATCACCCTTAAAGTTTTGAGGTGGTCAGTCCCTCAGTCTGGAGAAGAGCATTGTTCCAAAGTCTGAAACAATATGGAGTTGAAGTGACAGGATGGAGCCTTATATAGCGCCAGGAGGCGAGACATAGGTCACTAGTAGAACGCAGATGTTGGGAGGTCAGGTCCCTCTCAAATCCAGCCGTTCTCACTAGAAGAGGTTGTCGAAGTAGATTTCAGGTCTGTACCCAGATACCCTTGTGTTGCAGTGTCTGACAGATTGAACATTAAAGTGGTATAAAATACCGACAGGTTGTTAGGTAAGACACATATGCAAGTTAGGTATCTTTATTTCGAAACGTTTCGCCTACACGGTAGGCTTCTTCAGTCGAGTACAGAAAAGTCGATAGAAGCAGAAGAGACTTGAAGACGATGTAATCAGTCCATCACCCTTAAAGTTTTGAGGTGGTCAGTCCCTCAAAACTTTAAGGGTGATGGACTGATTACATCGTCTTCAAGTCTCTTCTGCTTCTATCAACTTTTCTGTACTCGACTGAAGAAGCCTACTGTGTAGGTGAAACGTTTCGAAATAAAGATACCTAACTGTTGCGTATGTGTCTTACCTAACAACCTGTCGGTATTTTATACCACTTTAATGTTCAATGGCTAGGCCTCATGATGGATCAGAGCTTGATCAGCCACGCTGCCACTGCTGGCCACATATAAACCAACATATGAAGCACAGCCTGGCTGATAAGGTACTGACTACAGGTGCCTGTCCAGCTCCTCCTCGAAGACAGCCAGGGGTCTATTGGTAATCCCCCTTATGTATGATGGGAGGCAGTTGAACAGTCTTGGGGCCCCTGACACTTATTGTGTTGTCTCTTAGCATACTCATTGCACCCCTGCTTTTCATTGGGAAATGTTGCATCTCTACTGAATCTTTTGCTTTCATAGGGAGGGATTTTCGTGTGCAGATTTGGGGCTAGTCCCTCTAGGATTTTCCAAGAGTACATTATCATGAATCTTTCTCGCCTGTATTCCAGATAGTACAGGTCAAGGGACTTAACAATTCCCAGTAATTTAGGTGCTTTATCATATATGTGTTGTGCAAGTTCTCTGTATATTCTCCAAGTCTGCAGTTTCACCTGCCTTGAAAGGGGCTGTTAGTGTACAGCAATATTCCAGCCTAGAGAGAACAAGCAATTTGAAGAGAATCATCATGGGCTTGGCTTCCCTAATTTTGTATAGGATTGGTATACAATACCAACAAGATGAAAATTAGACACACATGCAACATCTGGGTATCTTTAACCCTTTGAGGGTCAACAGGCCCTCTCCGAGACTTGTTCTTAGGGTCAGCCAAATTTAAAAAAAAATATTTTTTCTTATGAAAAGATAGAGAATCTTTTCCCGATCATAATGACACCAAAAGTATGAAATTTGATGGAAAACTTACGGAATTATGCTCTCGCGAAGTTAGTCTCGACGATGTTTACGCATCAGCGATTTTGCCCACTTTGAGCCCTATTTTCGGCCAATTCCAGTGTACTAGTCGACAAAAATCATAACTATTTCTCTAGAACTCCATTTTTTCTATTGAATGAGTACAAGAAACCACCCATTTACTGATTTCAACTATCCAATACAGTGGTCAGAATTTAGCAATTTTGCCAATTTCACACAAATTTCAAAAGATGCCAATTTCCAAATAGGGTCCAGAATAAACAAGAAAGACATTCCTGGCACTAAAATAACATTTCCTCTGTTCGTTAGTCACATTCCCAGGCCCCTCTTATATTTCTTTGGCTTTCCACTTTGAATTTTTATTCTTACAAAACATAGAAGATTTACTGTTATGCAGACTGCTGCATTAGTGTAGAAATGGTATAAATAATATCAGCGCACTTGTGAAAGAATATTAGACTCGCCAGTTGACGTGTATTGGACGCTTGGCATGATTTGTTTACTTTTGAACTTTGGTAAAAATCGAACATTTCTGCTACTTTCAGCTTAATTACAAGGTACTTTTCATTGTAAAACCAGTCAAAATCATCTCAATTTCTGTAATATGTCTTCCATTCTATGAAATGAGACCAAGAAAACTAAATTACAACAATAAATACCATACAAAAATACAGTGCAAAGTCGCTGTTTTATTCCAAAAAATACGGTCAAAGTTTATTTTTTCTCATTATGCACTGTGTGCTGCAGGATTTTTTTTATACTGCACACACTGACCACATAGACCCATTCTTTCATATGTATGCCTACCAGCTTTCTCCCACTAGATTTGAGGGCGCTAGAATTTAGGCGTACTAGTACGTCAAAAACCCTGGGTCGTAAGCCGTACTAATACATGGCCGAAACCCTCAAAGGGTTAATGTAGACATTTCACCATCCAGTGGCTTTATCAATACAAATTCTAGGACGTAATTTGAAGACAATATAACTATACGTATATACAAAAGTTGAGGTAATCAGCCCCTCAGCCTTGGAGTTGGTGTGAAGAGCACAAACTCTTCATGACTACAGTGCTCTTCACACCAACTCCAAGACCGAAGGACTGATTACCTCATCTTTTGTACATAGTTCTACTGTCTTTAAATTGTGTCCTAGAATTTGCATTGATAAAGCCACTGAATAGCAAAACGTCTACATTTAAGATACCCAGTGTGGAAAGTTAAATTTACTTGGATGAATCTCATTAGATACATACCAGTAAATGGTAACAAAGATAATTATTCTTTATCAAAGTTACAGAGACATGTAGGAATTTTAGGACACCTAGGTCGCAAAAAATGTCCCCCTTCGATACCTACTGTCATATCTCCACAAGTCACTCTGGAGCTATATTAATTTCACATGAAATATACATCACCAGGAATTCTGGTAAAAACATTAATACAGTAGGGCCCCACTTATACGGCGGGTTAGGTTCCAGGCTGTCGCCGGAAAGCAGACATCGCCGGAAGGCAGAACTCCATTTTTTTCCATTTATAAATGCATATAAATGCCAGACAACAAGTTTACACTAAATTATATTAAGTTAGTAATAGAGCTAGGCATTAAAAACACAGAGTAAAATACAGTCACAGTAAATTCATTACTTATCATAAAGTATTTGTAATCTTAATGTAGGGAGAGAGGTGAGTAGTACTTATTTGTAGGAAGTCAGGTGCAGGTAGCCCAGGTGTAGGTAGCACTGGCTCTCCGTCTCATACTTAATATACGATATTTAAAACATCCCAGAGAGGTAAAATGCACATACAGTACACTCATTATTTACCTTAAAATATGTGTAGTCTTAATATAGGAAGAGAGGTGAGTAGTATTTATTTGTATAAATTCAGTGTAGGTAGCCAGTA